TATATATGAATGAATGAGAATTACTCAGACAGCTATCAAACATCTAAGCTTCATCAACCAGTAGCCAAACATTTTGATTCTGATTGCAATATATCTTAATGCCAATTGGAGCGACAAATATCGTAAGGATAAAGAAAATCACTGGTAACTTTTACCTAAAACCATCACACCATTTGCACACAATATTAGGAACGTTCCCCCAGTATCCAAAGTAAGGCTTTAGGGGTTATTTTACCTGGTGTTGGCTACGAATGTGCAAGGTCCTTTTTATATATCCCTTTACTCTCAGAGAGGCGCACTCGGTTATGCAGGGACTATTTCCAGAAGCTTAAAATCTTAACGCATAGGCTAAATCATCTTTTGCTTAACTAGGGAGACACATTACAACCTAAGATGTCAACGTGAATTTTCTCTCCCTAGAATAAAAACCGTATCGAACTCCAGTGTTACGTTGACGCAATCTCGCAATGTCGTCATAATAATCAGTGCCGCGGATTCAAGTGGGGACGAGCCGACCCACCCCCTCCCTTAAATTTTTTAAAATTAAAAAAAAATTGGAAAAAACCCGGAAAATTATAATTAGAATTTAGGTCTGAGAGTGCCATTTCCGGCCATCTAGGAGTGTCATAATTATAAATTTTCTTACCTCTGCCCCAACCATCGTGGGGCTCAGGTGATCTAGTTTCCAAATTGTGAAAGTCTCTCCGTGTCCCCTTTTATTTCCCTTTTCTGGAGCCGCCACTGATAATGATAAGTTAAGTAAATCACCTTTATGTTTGTGAAATCAAAATGTGAAGAACTAAGTGAAATTCAAAAGGAGGAGAAAAGTAAAAAACCTTTTGAATGATTTTAAAATACTGTACATGCTTATCAGTAGATAATAAATCATTATTTTTATGAAATTTAGTTTGCACGAAATATAATATAAGCGGGCATAGTTATGATTACCAGCATAATTTTAAAAACTTTATGATTCAGTGGCAGATCCAAGGAGCCCAGTGTAGTAGCAATACTACTTGCACAAATGTGAAATTCCAAAATAGAAAAGGAAAAACCTCTTGATTGATTTTAAAAAACTGTACATGCTAATCATGTAGATAATAAATCATTATTTTCTATCAATGTTAGTTTGCATGAAATATATAAGCGAACATTATGATTACCAGGATAATTTTAAAAACTTTAGATGAGGAGTATTTCAATTGCAGATTCAAGGGGCCCAGTGGAGAAAAATGAAAATGATTCTAATTTAGGCTGAGAGTGCCGTTTCCGGCAGACTAGAGGTGCCATAATCATAAATTTTCTCTACTCAGCCCCAATCATGGCGGGGCTCCATCTGTAAACGTCCCTCCCTGCCTAGCTCTATTTCAAGTTCCTGGATTTACCACTGTATTTTGAAAATGTATGAAAATAAAAGTTAATTGCATTCCTTAAAATCAATTAGAAACAACTTATAAAAGGTTATAGGCGCCTGAGGGGGGCTTCGGCCCCTGGACCTTCACCCGGGCCCTGGGCTGCCCCCTGGCTCAACTCAAAAAGGGAACTTGTAAATGCTCGTTAGAAAATGAAAAAAAATCTATATTTTATAATGATAATAATAGGTCAATTTATAAGACGCAAATAAACAAGGAGTCTAAGCACCAAATAAGGATAATAATAATAATAACAAATAATAATAATAACAACAACAACAACAACAACAACAATAATAATAATAATATTTAATGATGACATTGCAGCGTTCGTAAAATGTTTGTCACTTGTGCTTGGAACAGTGGGGGGGAAGCCCCTCCCATATATACAAAGTGCCAATGCCCCCCCTGGCGCCCCCACTTCCGCCGCCGTTGCCCTGGCCCCCAACCAAGGCTTGCTTATTTGGCATTTCGTCCCCCCCCCCGCCACTTTCAACCACGGATCGCCCTTTGTGAGGATCAGTTGTCAAAATATTTAAAACAATAAATTCCAGGGGCGGATCTAGATGTCCAAAAGGGTGGGGCCGTAAGTTGGGCCGATCGAGACAACACTGTCATAAGAGTACAGGGGCATGCCCCCGCGAAATTTCTGTGTTCTAAAAGCCCGAAAATAACATTTGAGGCGTTTCTTTACACACTTCAAAAGACTGTCA